AGGTGCGTTTCTATCAGTCTTCCTACCATTATGACCAAGTTGCGAAAACAAGGTCAAACAACTTCTATTCCCCCCTTGTTGGAATGCTGAATTTGGGTTCATTCTTATCCCTCTTAGTTGGTCTCATAGATTTTCATATCAGGGAACTAGACACTTTCGTCGCAAACATTTTCGCATCAACCTCACGAGTTGCAGCACAATTCAGGGAGCCCTCGGCAATGGCTTAATATGGGACCAGCAAAAGCAGCCTGCACGCTGGAGGTGATGAGAGCATGTTTAATGGAGGGCTAAAAAAGCTTCGTCTCTTCTCGATAATTCTAGAAAACGCTCGTTCACATACCGCCCATTTTGAAGATAGTCTGAATAAAAAAGTACTACAGTAATCTATTCTTTCAAAAGACTCATTTTTCAGAATTCTCACTGACTAACTTAGCTAAAGACTGGAAATATCAAAGGCTTTTCTTAATATGGCTTTTTCGTATCTGTATTTCCTGTTTTTGTGACTAAATGCTCAAAGTAGATGCATAATGGAGGAGTAATCTCGTTTCTCCCGCCTAACCTCATCTTCAGCTTTCCTCCATTTTACCTTGCACTCGGTTCGTACTTTTAATATGCCATATCACATCATTTCTCCATGGAATGTTGACAGTCTCATTTATCTTCCTTGTACATTACTCTCCAGTCCATTTTCTCGCTCGATGTCCTCCAAGTCATCTTGTCGGTGGCAAGCTGGTGCATATATTAACGGAGAAGTTCACCTGTCGTTTCTTCTGCATCAATGACAGTGTGCTCGGTCGGTCCTTGATGAGCCAACATCTTACTTAGTAAAACAATGCTACTGTACACTCGACTCAGCTACTATAAGTTTAGTAGACTAGTAATTGGTACCAGAAAAGGCTTGTTAGACCCACTTGTCCTGCCATGTGTTCATGATGCAGTTGTCCCAAAAATCGGGTAGCAAGGGGCTGCATTTCAGGAATTCAATCTCGATCACAGTCGACGTTCATATAATCACATGTTTATGGTTGAGTCCGACCCTGTTGTCTAAATAAAGTCTGCTCTGCTTCTTAAACAGTAGCCTCTAGGCTTGTCCTGATCGCCGCCATATCTTCGCTTAGTTCGTTTTATTTTAGGGTTTATTTCTTTTTCTTTCTTGTGCAGATATACTTCAGTCTTATTTGAGCAAAAGAAGCAATGAATTGGGCATTGGGATCGGCTTCTTCCTTAGCACTGGCAACCTGCCGGGCACTCAGATTTCTCGATTCATCCTCGGTCGGCACTTTGGCGGCCAGTATACCGGACTCAGTGTGCCCGCAGACAATATAAATTTTCTCCGCTTCGCAGCCCAGTTCCGTGCATTGCACCGCGGCGCCTCGTTCAACGAGATCCGCACCACCGAGGTGCGCCGCCTCCTGCCTGAGGCTTGGGGCTTTATCTGTCCGGTGCATACTCCTGACGGAGCGCCCTGTGGCTTACTGAATCATTTGGCTGAGCCGGTCGACGTTGCCTACGTTGGGCCCAGCTTTGATGAAATCGAAAAGCTGGCGGAGTGGTTGACGCGTGAGAAGTTGCGACCCGTAGAACTTGTCCGTCAGCTTTCATCGCAGGCTGAGCATGATGGTGCTTACTTTATAAACTTTATTTTAAGCTCACTCTCCAACACCACAACACACCACTCTACCATTTTCCCTCATTCCTGCACGCTTCTGCATACGGAACCCTAGCGGCTAAACTCTAATGCGATTTTTATTGTCATTTATTATTTGTCTCAACTGAACCTGCTGTTATGCGATATAACATGAAATATGTCTGCCGCCCTGCCCACATTTTGATAGGCCTTAGTTTAATTGATGATTAAGGTCAACTTCCTAGTGAAACTGTGGGACGATAGAATATCATAGTTCTTCAATGGAGGCAACTGTTTCGAGAAATAATCAACACTGAGATTCACTATTTTCTCATTTAGGTGTAATTGATTGTAACTGAATAAACTCCAGAAT